AAAGAAAAACCGCCCCCGGGTGGTATTTTTTTTTTTTTTTTTTTTTTTTTTTTTTTTTTTTTTACAAAGTTGCATTATACTCTCTCTAGGAATATCTGTATATCTGTTCTTCCACATCTGTCTCAGACTATGTTGTCTCTACTGTCTGTGATATTCTGAGAGGGGGAAGGCTAAAAGTTTTTATTTAGCAACAGATGTATCTGTGGTTAGGGATGTTAAATTCAGGGGAAAATAAAAAATTAAATATACCTTAAAAGAAAAAGTAATTTTATGAGGGAGATTAAAGTAGCTTTGAGCTTATATTATCTCTCATGTTTATGGATCTTAAAAGGTAGTTCTGTGTTCTTTGTTTTTCTAATTTTCTCCAAAATCATCTTAAAATTTATTTTATTCTTGGTGGATTATACAGAGTAATATTCCAGGGAGAAATAAAATCTGCCTATTTAATTTAAAGCCAAATATCTTCTTTTGTTGCAAATTATGAGAATAAGCATCTGATCAGTAATTGGTCATCTCTGATACTTCTTACAAATAAACCAGGTATATGCAGTCGTATTACAAGTGAGCGTTTTCACTAAAAATGATGGACTTGATTGAGCTTCTAGGAAGAAGGCCCTGAGAAGACATTGCTTTTCCTTTTATGATTTCAGTTAAGAATGCAAATTGCACATCAGACTTTGAGGAATACTTTGCCAAAAGAAAACTGGAGGAACGCGATGGCCACGTGGTCAGCATCGAGGAGTACCTTCAGCGCAGTGACACAGCCATTATTTACCCAGAAGCCCCTGAGGAGCTGTCTCGCCTTGGCACACCAGAGGCCAATGGGCAAGAAGAAAATGGTGAGGCTGTAATTCATTTTTAGCCACTACACTGACCTCTGCAGCTGTTACAATTACAAATGCACTACATGCCTGGGTGTTTACCTTAAAATTTGAAGAACAGCTGCAGAGGCATGGAATTTCATGAGCAAAGATTAGAACTGTAATTTTAGGGTATTGTGTAATTTTTTTTTGTCAGCAAATTTGTGTCATTTGTACATCCAATAAAGAACAAGAACAATTAGAGCCCATTTCTAAGAGATAAAAATATCTAAATGTATTCCTATCTTTTGGAAATATTTTACTTTTGAGGGGAAAAAAAAAGAGTTGAGAAATACTGACCCTCACCTTTTGTTCTTCTCTTCTGACACCTGAAAATCTCCTTCCCACTGTGAATTCCTGAATGGTATGCGACCAACGGTTTCATAGGAACTGTCAGTCACCTAAAGAGAATTTCCTCATTTATCAGCTGTTTAAATCCCCCCCAAAAAGCTCGACTAATTAATTAATTTTCTAGCGCAGTGTGAGCTGATTCCGACAAGTCTGTCCTGGGCGTGCGAGGGGACTGGTGTTCAGGGGGACTGGTGTGTGATGATGGCACTCTGGTGGAGCAGATTGCAGTGATTCCTGTCATACCATCCCGGGCAGTCAGCCCATTAGCTGCCATTGATTTACTGACCTTTTGGCCCACTTCTCTCTCTCTCGTCTCTCGGCTACAGACCTGCCACCTGGAACTCCAGATGCTTTTGCCCAACTGCTGACCTGCCCCTACTGCGACCGGGGCTACAAGCGCTTGACATCACTGAAGGAGCACATCAAGTACCGCCACGAGAAGAATGAGGAGAACTTTTCCTGCCCTCTTTGTAGCTACACGTTTGCCTACCGCACCCAGCTCGAGCGGCATATGGTGACGCACAAGCCAGGGACAGATCAGGTGGGGGGCTGGTTTTAAGTGATTTCTTTCTATAATAACCCCTTAGAGAAACGATATTGCTTTGATTGGCAATCATTATTAATTTTTCATGGCATTTTGAAGATGCAGATCTTTTAATGGTAATAGCTTTAATTGAGGTCTAAATGATTTTTTGATGGTCTCTTCTAATATGATTTAATAGTCTTATGTTCACGATCGAATGAGTGTGTTAATTTCTAATTTAGAAATTTTATTTGCACTTTAACTTGACTTTAGTTTCATTTTTATGTTCCACAAAAAGTGAATGAAATTGTAGCATTTTAATTATACATTATTAAACATCTCAGCAATTTTAATTCCATTTTTCACCCTGTTTTCCTTAGAATTTTCTTTGTATAGGATCTGAGCCATAGTTCAGGAAGTGTGTATGTCTTTCATTTGTCGTAAAACACCTTCAATTACTTAGTGCATTTTTACAAGCTGCTACTAGTTTATAAAATCTAATTAACTGTTTTAAGGAAAATCAAAAAGGCATATAGAATATATGTATAATAAGTTAGATTAATACTAAAAATGGATGTACATTCAAAAATGGTCTTTTCTTGATGCACATATTGGTAGCTAACTGTTAAAATTGTGCTGCCTTTTTTGTTATACTTGTCTTAAAAATGAAAACTCTGTCTTGAACAGGTAAGCTTAGCTTCTTAAATCCTTGAAATGATTAAATAGGGTTGATTCACATTATCCCTTAAATTTATCAGCAAAACTCCTCTCTCTCTCCTCCTGGGATTTAACTCTGCAAATTGATATTAAGATGTGTTCAGATGACAACAGGAACGGTGTGCTTTAAGTCACCATAACTGTCCCCACAGATCTGGAATCACACTAGATAGGCCTTGACATCATATCTGTTTTAAAAATGATTAAACATAATATACTCAATAAAATTTTTACTTTTTCTTTACAGGCTTTATTTTCTTTGTATAAGGAGAATAAGAATAAGCAAACTCAAACAGTGGTAATACTGTATTATGGAATTTTACTATTTTAAGAGAACAACTCATACAAATCATTCCATTTATATCTGATTGGGCTTGTCACCCGAGTGATTTTCAAAGATCAGTTATTAAAAAACAAGCCTGCATAGTTACACTTATATAACAGTTTATCTCCCCTTGCTTATACACACAAAAACTCCAGAAAAAAAAAAAAAGAAGAAGTGCCTAGATATTTATCTAGCATAACTGCTTTAAATTTCACATGCAGAAGTGTGATTGTGTTGGCGCATTATGAATGGTAGCTTTGGTGTTGAAAAGTCCCCTCATTTGCTCATGGCATTTACAATTAGTAAATTAAAATGATTGTATCATATTAACAGTGGCACAACTAAAGTTTATAGTAGTCCTCTGAGGGCTGTGGGGGGAGACAAAGCAGCTGTTGCTGTTTGTTTATGCAACTCAGCAACATATGAGCGCTGGTCCCTCAATGGCGCTCGGCGGGCTGGGCTCTGCTTGATCTTTGAAGGTTGCTGCTGTTTGAACAAACCTCCCTGTGTCCCATGTAACACCATCTGTCTCACTAGGAATGTGGGAAGATTCAGCACACCCTAGCAGTTGTCATACCGTTTCTGTGCTGTCTTTTTGCAAAAGGCTTTTGTGTCATTGCTGCTTGAAAAAGGCTGACCTCCTACCTTGAGCATCCAGAGTGGATGACTGTATTTTTTTTTTTTTTTCAGAATTCTAAGTCACAC